ATACACTCGGCTAATGATGTCAGAATGGAAGAATATTTTATATAACTTATATTATATAACGCTAGCACGTTCAAATATATCGTAAAAGTAGCCAAATCTTAAAATTTACTTCAGCGTGTGTGATAAATGCAAATACGAAGAATTGTGTTAAAAAAAGAGAAAGAAATTTTCTTGAAAATAAATTACGAATGATTTTATTTAGAATTAAATTCAAATGGAGATTCTTAAAAAAGGAAATTTATTGAAACGTGTCAGATGAAAAGAAATAGTGTAAAAAGAGAGTTGAATTTTTTCCAGATCGTGTTAAAATAGAAATAAAAACAATATAAATCCTTGTAAAGAACAAGGAAGCAGAAATATAAGAACAAACTCACAAATAATAGATGTTGTTTACAGATTTCTTTTACATATTCTATTATTAATTTTATATATAATACTTATTTACATATACATTGGCGCATTTAGAAATATGACGCCCCTACGCCCAAAATATGCAGGCGATCCCAAACTAATAGTGCGACTTTTGCACTACCTCTCTGTTCATGAAAAATATATTTGTATATTAACGATAGCCTATACAATTGTGATCTGCCACTACTTCAGGTTTTAATTTACACTAATTACTGTTAATTTTTTCTGCATAAAATTACTTGTTCATTATTTTGTTGTTATTTCTAGGACATTGCGCGACTTTGTCGTATCGCGATAGAAGCCAGAAAATAACAAGCAATCCTTGCAGTTGTTAAACAAAGAAGAGGCGATCCTTGTACTTGCCGGCCACGGGAGAGACGATCCTTACACTTGTCGCCATGGAAAGACAACGAGTGTGTTTTGTTCGATTTTGCGCGCCTATTTTACCTAAGGCGCATGTAATGCTGTGTTTATTTTTGATCCCTAGTCCTATATTCCTTTAGGTGAGCTCAGCGCATCAAACAGCATGGATATTGCCAAATTAATACCTGTGCATATTGAAAACAAAGTCATGGACTCCTACTTTTTCATTTAAATGGACACGCATTACATTTTTGGATTCATCACCGTAAATAATGGAAAATGGCAAAGTTTAATGAAAATAAACCGAATACAATTCTGTTAGACACATAGAAGAGACTTCGCTAACGTTCCGCCTCAATTATTATTTTAAATTTTTGCATCCCCATACTTTTGCACCTTAAGCCTGGGCCTAATGAAAAATAGATAATTATTGAATAACGCGACGTTTTTCATCTTACGGCCTTCCACAGACATTGTAGATCAAATTGAACAGTAAAACCTGGTTAACTCGAAGACATTTTCTATTCCCGATCGTCTAGAATAAGGATTTACGTATTAAATCAAACTAGTTAACTAGAATTCGTCGAACTGTTTAACTCGAATAGATAAATTAATTAACGTTTATGTATGGAATAAACTAACCAGAAACTTCCTATAAAGCGCAGAAACCACAAACATATAAAAGTAAACATCGTGTCATGTGACAGGGGGTGGAGGTGGTGGCTTCCCGCAGCGCGTTTGACCTAGAAACTGTCATTGGAATCTGCTTTTGTTTGCTTTATTTGATTGCCAATTGATTTCTCCAACTAGTCGACGTAATAAATAAATGGATTTTTAATAAATTATTTTAAAAAAAACGACTATAGTCCGATTCTATATCAAAAATTTTATTTTTCGCAGCAAAATTTTAAAAGCATAGCAATTGTAAAGAATAGTTTGTTTATGATAAAAATAAATAAATAAATAAAGGTCGATTCTAGGAACAAAATGTTGCAATTAAAAGAATCTTTAGTAAACGCAGGAGTGAATGGATCAACCATTTGGGAAAGCATTTCTTATTTACCAACAATTAGGTTGAGCATTTTCGAGTTTCTGGACAACACCGAGAGGTTTACATTGACATAACGATTCCACGTAATGAGACAGAGAAATAACGTGTGGATAATTTATTATGGATGGCCGATCAACCCATGCGCAAAAATCTTAATTTCTAACTGAACTTCCGTAACACGAAACTTTTAAGTCCGAATTTTTTCCTGACTTAATCAGGTTCCACTGTATTTATTTTCTATATAAAATACTGTGATTATGTAGTGAATTAATAAATAAAAATTTAAATAAATAATAATTCATAATAGATTATGTATATAAGTTATATAAAATAAATTATACATTAATGTTTTCTACATAAATTAGACATATAATTGTATTAGAATAATTTTATAATTTAAAATTTCATGCCAGGATAGAAATTTTTCTGANACGAAAAACCGGATAGATTTGAACCGCTACGATAAAACGATAAGGTTCGAAATAGTTAAGCTAATTTTTTAATATAATAATAGTATATTAAGTGCATTAAACATGCCTCATAAGAATTTATAATACTGCTAAAACGCCCACTAGGGGGCGACCCGGGCTACTAGTATAGTAGATTCTATGGTAGAATGCTAAATCAGAATATCTAAACAACTGACAATTAAAAAGTAAATAGTTGACGATACTATTTCTGTATTATGCATTTGCACTTTGAATATTTTTATATTTTTACATAAATTTATTACAAGAATTTTATAGAATGTAAGTGTTTCTGTTTTTGAAAACTATATAGGCCAGCGATTCCCAAAATGTGCGCCGCGGCTTCCTCACATATTTCACGGCGCCGAATATGTGAGGAATATTGTAAAATTTTATAAAATGGTCATAATTTTACTTCCACTTTTAATTCAATGTGATAAGATGCGGCATTTAACAAAATGCATTGGTATCTGTACTGATAGTGTTCTTTAATGTAAAAAAACGTTGGCTATTTCGCAAATTGTACTTGTTAGAATTTGACGTAGGGCGCCTTGGGAAAATCTGGATTTAGCAAGGGCGCCGAGAATCAACAAAGTTTGGGAACCACTGATATAGGCTTATAACTGAATAAATTGTATTTCTAGCGATGAATATCTTATGTTGTTTTTATAAGAATAGATCATGATAAATGCTATCATTAAAATATTTCTTTGGGTCGAATTGTAACGGTAACGAACCTGGTTAAGTCATTTTCTTTCCCGATCGTCTAACATTGGAATTGGATTTACGTGTTAAATCAAATTGGTTAACTTGAATTCGTTCAACTCGAATGGGGTTTTGATACATTTTCATAAACTTTCCAAAATTTTATTTTGAATAAGTAAATAAATTAACGTGTGTGCATGGAATAAACTAAGCAGAAACTTCCTATAAAGCGCGGAAACCACAATCGACTAAAAGTAAACATCGTGTCATGTGAGGTGGTGGCTTCCGGCAGCGTGCTTGACCTAAATACTGTAACTGCCATTGGAACCTGCTATTTTTTTTTTATTTGATTGTCGATGGATTTCTTCAACTAGCTGATGTAATAAATATATGGATTTTTGATATGATAATTTTAAAAAATGCTTATTGTTCGGCAATGTTTAAAAACATAACAATCGTAAAGAGTAGTATGTTTGCGATAAAAAGAAAAGAAAAAAACAGATCAATTCTAGGTGCGAAATATCGCAATGAAAAAAATCTATAGTAAACACTTAGGAGTAAACGGATTATCCATTCGGGAAAGCATTTCTTGACCCATTAGGTTAAGCTTTTTCGAGTTTCTGGACAACACCGAGACGTTTACGTTAACTTTTAAACCCCAAGTCCGAATGTTTTTTTCCCTGACCAATTCGGGTTAATCAGGTTCCACTTGTATTAAAAAAGGAATTATAACATATACTTACAGAAGTCATTAATTAATTAATGAACGTGCAGAAGTGACATTAATGCGATTGCATTTCGTAACATTAATTGTAATTTAATAAGTAAAGTTTAATAAAAGCATGTTTGAAAATTTCGTTAACAATACATTGGAAAGAAAATCGCATTTACATTTGTCTTTAAAACATAAAAAAGTTTTTAATTTATATATTCGAATCTGTGTTGTTTTAAAACGAAAGAAATGCATAGACAAGAAGTGAAAAACGTTTTGTATTGAGAAGGTCATGTTTAATTTCAAGGGATCATGTAAGATTTCGTGATGTATATTAGTGTAAGTCAGTATATGTATACCAAAAAATAAAAAAATATATATATAGAGATTATATCAATATTTAAGTAACTGTTGTTATTGAAAATAACTGAATATACACTGTTCCTTCGAAAACATACCGTATAAAATATAAAACATCAGTAGATGTCAAAACAGCAAAAGTTTGAGAAAGCTGAAACTGCCTTACGATTGGATTAATAAAGGCAAGATTGTAGCATTCATACAGGGCTGCATAATTCCCTTTTAATTCTTTGTCATTATTAAACATTCGTAAAAACAAAATTAATCTCGTACCACTTTATACTGTCACTTCCGGTTGCACTAGAAAACAAAAACTACAAGATCTCGGCTATCGTCTACACATTAAAAATTGTAAGAACACTTCTATAGATGTGTCAAGAAGCAGAAATGTTATTTTTCAGTTATTAATGAGTTTGGAACAAACAACCTCCAACATCTTACTGTTTAAAGCTTTTCGTGACAAAAAAAAATTCATTAAAAGTTTTTTCGATTGCTGATTTAGAGTATAACGCCTCAAACAATATTCTATCATATAAAGATCAATGAAGTAATATCCTCTTTATTAATTTTAAAATTAGAAAAATTTCTTACTACTTATTTTATTAATAAATATACAATTGTAATACACTAAAGTTTTTTTTTTCTTTTTTGTTTTAGCTTCCTCAGTAATGTTACTATTAGGGAATGATTCTTCTTAACTTTCGAATAATTATTTTGACAAAACTTCATATCAGTATTAAAATTAAATGAATGTCCTTAAAATAACTGGAAGGAATGACGTCAGTAATATAAATATGACTTTGTTGTATCAGCTGAATTGTGCTAGATGTGATTTTATTGGACATCTATTGGTGTATTGCATGTTCCAGTAAACAATAGATTTTATATAAATAGAACACTCGGCTGGATAGTTACTTGCTTCAGTAGTTTCTTTATTAATGATCGTCATGAAGAAGACATTTGCCATATGCTTTCTCTTTGCTTTTCTCGCTTCATGTTTTTATTGCGCTGGTAAGTTGTAAACTTTATTCGTTATGAAATTCTATATGCTCAAAAAAGTTTACAGAGTAAAGAGGGAATTCACGAAGGCTATGGTTATGGTCTTTTCAAAGATCAATTTTTGAAATGCTAACCAGTGTTGTGTGGAACACCACTGGGAATTTGAAAACTATTATCAGCAGTATTGCGTGGACCGGAGCATTGTTACGATGCCGTTCTGTTTAAGCTGTCGGTCTTTTCTTCCTCACTGCTTCACGAAAATGTTTCATAAACTCCGGATGGTATTTTTTATTTAACGTCTTCCTTTATAAAAGAAATTCTCTTTGAATGACACCATCAGAATCGAACAAAACAGTGAACAAGACTTTCACATTCGATCAAACTTGTCACGTCTTTTTGGGTTGCGGTGAAAATTTTCCCCCTTTGTGTGATGTCTGACGTTTTATTTCCACGTCATACTTATAGTCCTTTGTCTCATCCCCAGTTATGATGTTTTTCATGAAATTTTTATCAGACCTAACCTGTTTACACAAATAAACGTAACGCAACAACAAACGAAGATAGAATTGTTTTCGGCACATAGTACAAAACACTTGCCGGTTGAGAACTGAGCATGCTGAATTCAGATTCAATTATTGGTTGGTGTGTAATTTAAAAAGTTGGCGAACTTTCCGGACAGACCTAGTATCTCGAGTTTGGTCTAACTCGTTAGCATTTACAAGTTTTTTTAATAAAAAAAAATCATCCCTACTGTCAAAATTAAAGTTTTTGTCATTTTATAATAATTAATAATATAAAAAGTTTTTAAACTGAAATATTATAATAGATGGCGCTACAACAATTTTAAATTATTTTCCAGGAATGTTATGCAACTTGTTGCTGAATTTTAAAAAATACTTTTTATTTTTAGGCACTATAGATATGAATGAATTGATGGCTGACGTAAGTGAATAAACCTTTTATAACTTTAAAAATTACATAAATGTAGTAAATATCTAATAATCCTTTTTTGTGAAGATGGTTATCATTATTAATTAAGTTAACGAATTATCGGACGTTTTCGATCATTTCAATGCAAAATTCAATGTTTATATAATTATGTGTTATATGATTTATCTTGATCGTAGTAAAATTATTTCCGTAAAATGAAATGACTTCGACCATTTTTTTCAAAAAAAAAGAATTAAAACTAATACACAGAATTACAATATGTTAAATAATAATAATAGCAACTGAACAGTATCATACACTCGTGATATAAATGTTTAAATTTTAAATCATGCAATTCATTTTCTTAAAAATTTTGTGGTGCCCACATTCAGCTTTATGATGGGGTGAATATGTTATGACTTTGGAAAGTGCATTTTATGCTACATTTAACCTTCTATGATTTGAATATGACCATAAAAAATATATTTTTGACGCTTACTATTTATTCACATTACTCTTTTTATAATAAGTTTTATAATCCCCACAATAATTGATTTCTAACAGATTGATCCCAACAATATCTAATATATTGATACTATATCACTAAATATTTTAAGTACAGTATGTACTGTATATTTTTGATAATGTTTCCTTAGTTAGATCTCATCTCTGGACGTTCATTTTATACTCTGATTACACTTCAAGAAACTTAGAAAATCAAGAAAATCAAAAACAAGAAACTTCAAGAAAATCATTAAAAACGGCATAAAACAATTTAATTGAAAAATAAATAAATAATAAAGTATAATTTTAAAATTTCGCTGAATGATAAATATTTTTTTAATAAAAAGACACAGTCGTTTCCTAAAAATTTCTTGGTCGGTCACCATTTATTTACTTAAAATGGAGAAGGATGAAATTTGAAGACGTCAAAAAATCACCAATTTCAATTTTTTACAAATTGTTATATATTTTTAAATTGAATTGTTTCTGTATTTTGAGGAATTGTTTCATGTGCAGCCATGTAGCCTACAAGGAAAAGTCGGGTCGCCCAAAGTTAATTCTGGAACATTTTAAGGAAATAAATGGTGATCGACCAAGAAATTTTTTTGGAAACGACTGTGTCTTTTTATTAAAAAAATAATAAAATAAACCTCACAGCGGGGCCACGAACGAAAATAGCGTTGCCCCTACCTTCGGGCACCTCTCAATCCCTTCAGGCTACAGTAATATTTGTATCCACTGTCTTTTTTCTGTATAGTCCTATACATGTTTCAGTTTTTTTTTTTACTTTGTATTGAAAATAATATCCATAGTGTAATCAAAATTAATTAGTATACAGTAGAACCTCGATTACCCGACCCCCGATCAACCGACCCCTCGGTTAACCGACCGTCCTAGTCGGCAAATTTAAAATGTCCGCTAGTGATGTGGCGCTACAATATTTGGCTATCTCTTGGCTACTTTAATATTATTTTTACGTGTTTTAGCTGGCAACACTCATTCGACCATGAAAGGGAGCCAGTATTTAAACGAAGCTTAATTTTCTAATTTTTAACGATACAATAGCGACGATTGTTATTTAAAAAAATTTTTGTTAGGCTTAACATCGATGAAAATTCAACGCAAAGTAGGTTAATAGCAATATACTAATATACTAATATACTAATTACATGGGATATAATAATATACTACACTAATAATGGATTTTTTCATACTTTTCGGTTATCCGACTTTTCAATTATCCGACCAACCCCAGTCCCTAATTAGGGCAAATAATCGAGGTTCTACTGTAATATTATTATGCATTATATGATGACTTATGATAGCAAAATATAATTTAAAAATATACATGCAGTCCCAAATTAAACTTGACATTACGCAGCTGGCTACAGCAAAAACTATTCATCGGAAAGTAATGAAAGTTTGTGAATGCCTTAATGAGATTATGGGAATTTTTTAGAGCAAAAAAGTTAGTTCCAAAAATCACTATTTAAGGACTTATTATTGCTTTATGCAGAACGTAACAATAAGTTACACAAGTTATGTCTAATGTGAACAAAACATATTTAAAATATGATGGCCACCATTGTCTGCTACCGTATGAAATCGTAAAGCAGCGTGTAGCTTCGAATGTTATGCACATAGCGTTCTATGCTGTCTTTAAGGTCTCACAAAGATGTTACGTAATTACTGTAAATCAGATGTTTTAGATCTTTCGGAGCTAAAAATCGCATGGATTCAAATCTGGGGATCTTGCAGGAGAATATGCTATTATTTCAGCTTGAAAAACGCCCTCTGCAACTAACATTTTTGCTCTAGAAAAAATTCCCATCGTCTCATTAAGGCATTCACAAACTTTCATTACTTTCTGATGAATAGTTTTTCTGTAGCCAGCTGTGTAATGTCAAGTTTAATTTGGGACTGCATGTATATTTTTAAATTATATTTTGCTATCATAAGTCATCATATAATACATAATAATATTGTACTAATTAATTTTGACAACACTATGGGTATTATTTTCAATATAAAGTAAAAAAAAAAAAAACTGAAACATATATAGGACTACAGAGAAAAAAGACAGTGGATACAAATATTACTCTAAACTAAAGGGATTCAGAGGTCCCGAAAGTAGGGGCAATGCTATTTTCCTTCCTGGCACCGCTTTGAGGTTTATTTTATTATTTATTTATTTTTCAATTAACTTATAAAGTAAAAGTATTTATAATAACAGTTATTACACTGAAGTAACAAATCCAGCGAAATGGCCTTTCCAGTTCTCATTTAACACATATGCAAGTAGGTAACTATTTGGAAAACTCGATTGTGTTTTAGTGTGGTTAGAGTTTTCGCTTAGTTTTTAAATTCCTGTTTATTATTTACTTTTATGATATAGAGGAAGATAACGTAATTAGAAATAAACCTGCTTAAACACCATGAATTTAGTAAATGTATTTATTACATGATCTAAATTACTGATGAGGACATGAATTAAATCGAAAATAAAGTTATTTTTTACATATATCTATTTAAAACTACGTTATATTGCAACATTATGTATGCAGGTTTTTTGCATAATATTCTGTTTTTGTATGTACCACATCTGTTTAAGAAAGGACTTAATAACTGCAGGCTATTCGTATAACAGATAGACACTTCCTATTAAATCGCCTCTAGAGGACGTTTATGCTTCTTCGGTTTATCGAACGAGTGATAATGTAGTTCAGGAAAGTACTAACTTCGAGTTCACAAACTTTATTTTATGATTTTATATTTTTGCCAAGGTTTTTTGCCTCAACGTGTCGGAGAAGCACCTCTCCTTTCTAAGATCCGTGGCGGAATGAGTTTTATAATATAATGGCAACAGCGGAAGAACAATCAATTGCTGTAAAGCGTTGCTAAGAGGGGAAACTTGGGAAAATATTTTTGAACCCAATAAACATTTGCTTACTCCCCAAAATACGTATTTATATATTTTATAATCTAAACTACAAGCGTGCAAAACGTTCGAATACAGTAAGTTTTGTCAAAAAATCATTAAAAAATATTTTAAAAAAGTATAAATCAGGGGCCTACGAATAACAAACTTGGAACTTTACTTGGAAATTTACAACGATACTTGAAACTTTAAAATTCATCATCACAGTTTTTTTCTGTACTTACATATTGCTTAACATTCTTTCTATCAAATAATCAGAAAATATAATACAGTATACTTACCGTCACAATAGTTTCAGTTCTTTCCAGAGATAGAGTAAATGGCCTAGGTGAAAAGATGTGTAATCCTTGCTACCAAATTTCTGAATGATCTCTAATGGGACGTACTGTATAAAAACAAATAGGGCCTAAGTACAGTATCACCTGAAAATAAGGTCTTATGACGTCCGAAAACTGATTACTAATCACTACTTGCCTTTTCCATTCGAGATGAGGACGTACTGTACAGTACGCTGTTGATTCTCCTATACTTGAGGCGTAGCGTTCGCGAAACCTCTTCTATATGGCTTAGAGAATTGTGTTCGTTCTCAAAAACTGTTTGATTGATTTTGAGCAAATTTTGGCCATTTTCCATTAATTGCAATGAGGAATCCAAAAATGTAATAAAAATAGGGGTCCATGACTTCGTTTACGAGATTTAAAGTCATTTCACGAGCGTGCGCGACAAAGCGATATCGCACGAATTACGCGAACTGGCCGTTATAACAAATTCACGTAGCGTAAGTCGCGTAACAATATAAAAACATAACATTTATTAGCAGATAAATCACTGACACCAATTTTACATAACTTTGTTGTGATAAAAGATAGTAAAAAATTATGGAGAGTAGCTTTTTCCGTCTGAACGCCGAGACAGCTAATGGGTTTTTATTTTGCCCCTTCTCATCTTCCTACGCGATTGCTCCGGCCCTTTTACCTGTTTACAGAAAGTAGAACGCGACCGCTACATCTTAACAGGAAGTACTTCGCGACTGCTACGGCTTTACAGGAAGTAGTTCGTGACTGCTACAGCTTTACAGGAAGTAGTTCGAGACCGCAACAGTAGTCCCTCGCCATCGATAGCGAGATGTTACTGACCTTACAAGTATTTGGGGTTGAATCTCACCTGACGAACTGAGCGTCTGACTGTATCCTGTTGCTGTGACGAAACTGCTGCTCTCTCTGCTGGAGTTGCTGCTGTTGTTGTCTCTGATGTTGCTGTTGTGGATGGGAGGGCTCTGCGTCGTCCGCACATATTATGTACGCCGGTTTATGCCTATCAATATTGACATTGATATGCCGATTCCCATCACTTCTTTAAAGTTTTGGTTCCTCGTTTCAGTAACCCGATACGGTCCTATGTAGGGCGGTTGTACGCCTTTTCGGACCGCGTCAGTTTGCAGAAAGACGTGGGAACAGGAGGAAAGATTGTGCACGAACACTTTCGCGTTCTTGGGACGACGCGCTACAGGCCTGATTTTTTTTCATTTCCTCTCTCAGCCTGCCAACGAAGGTAGCCGGGTCGGGTTGGTTCTTCACATGCACATGGCTGGTCCTGCGGCCACTGCAAGGATCGTGTCTCCCGTGTCCAGCAGGTACTGTACAGTGCAAGAATAGCCTCTTTTGTAGCGGCAAATGTAAAGTTCACCTGTCCGTGTTTGTCAGGTATAAGGATCGTCTCTTCCATGCTTAACAGGTGCAGGGATCGCTTCTTTCTTTTTTGCTCCTCCTCAATTTTATCGCGATACGATAAAGTCGCGCGATGTCCTAGTTTATAATATCTTTGTAATATTTAATAGCTTTTCATATGTGTGTCAAATTAAACCAGTTCATTTTGATTTTAAAAGAAATCTTTTATTGTCCGTTTATTATAGAACTGTTCAATGAAACGTTTCACCAAATTTCAGCAAATATTATCGTATAGATACCGTGCCGTAATATATCATAAAATTAAAGATAAACGTTTGTAAATCTTCCTTAGAATAGCGTTCCTGTATGCATACTGTTGCTTTAATAGGACCGCCGACACAGCGTTTGTTAAAATAGCTGACTCTTTCATTCGGTGTTCTGTTGAGCAATCCTGCTAATGTAAAACATACAGGAGAAAATCGGAAAAATGAAGGAGCGCTTTCTCAAGTGAACTGCTTCCTTATCCCAATGCACTGTTAAGTGGACTTGACTAAAGTATAATTTCTTCAGTTTTCCAATATATAAATATCAAATTCTTAACCTAAGAAGCGATTGAACTTTTATTCGAATTTTAAAATTTTGTTACGAGAAAATTACAGTAAATTACAGAGAAAATATTACCAAATCGAAGAAATCCTTAATGGTGTCACAAAAACAGATTAAGAATGTTTAGAAAAGAATATTTAAATTTAATTTATGTTTAAATTTGAAGAACTTAATTTATAAAAAATATTAAATTTATGTAAATAAATTTTTTAGGGCCAAGTAGCTATTAAAAAATGCTGTGGAGCAGAAGTAAATGAAGAAGACTTTAAAAAAGTAAATATATTTAAATTAATTTAATACTGTCATCATCATCATTATCATCATCATCATTATCATCATCATCATCACCTTTCTTTCCTGCTGGCACCCAGAGGATGTACAGGTCAACATAGTAAAAAATCAAACTTTTTTACTACAATCCACCATTTTTCTCCAAACTCTCCTATCGATAGTCAAGTTTTTACCTTGGACTAAACTTAAATTCCTTTCCTCTAAATCCTGCTTAACACTATCAATTCACCTTCGTATAGGACAGTGGTTCTTAACCAGTGCAAGACTATCTTGAGTGTTTCACGAAAGAAAAGATTTTAAAGTTTTTATTTATTTTTTTTCGTAGACAATTCCATGTTTCTATTTTATTCAATATATTAAAGTTTATTAGTTTATTGCTTCATTGCTTCCTGAAAATAGTAAATACGGAATTGCTTATCAAATTTTGAATATATTAATGCTAATGCTCCGTGTAATAAAAAGTATATGAAAGCTGTTCCGCGAACTCAGAAAAGTTGAGAACTACTGGTCTAGGACGTCCTTTGCTTTTTCCTCTGATTTTAGCTACAAATATCTGTTTGGTTACTTGCTTTTTCCCATTCTTTTTAAATGACCAAACCACCTCAGATTAGCCTCACATACTCTCGACTGAATATTAGTTACCTTAAAGTTTTTTCTTATGTCTTCATTTTTATTTGATTTTTGCCACTGCATCCAACTATTAACATCACTAATTTTTCTGAATACTCTCATTTTTGCTGTTTCTAATTTTTGGTAAATTCCATTATTTCTCACTGAACTCTCAGATACGTATGTCAATATAGGTTTAAAAACTGTGTTGTACATCAGTGGTTTCCAAAGTGTACTCCAGATTATTATTACTATAATGTTGGATTTAGTGGGTTATACTCGGTTGACACCGGTGGCTGGCTGTATACTATGCCGGACCAGAGTCAAGGCATAGCAACCAAACCAAAACTAAAATGAAATAAGTGTGTCTGTATTCAGGAATTTCCTAACAATATGGCATGCATTCAATATAGTGGCCTTCTGTAGTGTGATGTATGTATTTCTACTCGATTGTAATGTTCCCAGGCTTTTGTGTAGTGTGTGTGGTATCACACCTGTACAGGAGAGAACGAACGACAGATACAATAAGCACTCTTTCCATCCTCCACAGATGCCTTATTTCCTGCGCGAGTTCTGTGTACTTGCTAATTTTTTCAGTACACGTGTTTTGTACATTGTGAGTGTTTAAAATGGATATGTCTATAATGTATGTGATTTTATTGTGTTTGTCAATGAGTGTGATGTCTGGTCTGTTGTGGTAAATTGTTTTATCTGTGATTACGGCTCTGTCGTAGTACATTTTGTGAGTGTTGTTTTCCAATACTCTTTATGGTATATACTTGTAGTATGGTTCGTGAATGTCTAAAAATTTGTGTTTATTTGCAAGCTGTTGGTGTATTATATTTGCTACTTGATTGTGTCTATGTAAGTAATCTGTCTGTGCCAAAAGCTTGCAACCAGAAGTGATGTGTTGTATAGTTACTGGCATGATGTGACATTTTCTGCATGTGTCATTTGTGAGTGTTGTATCATTGAGTACGTGGTTTCTGTAATTTTTAATATTTATGACCTGATCCTGTATGGCAATCATGAATCCTTCCGTCTCCCCAAAGAGGCATCCCCGATCTAACCAGCTGTTTGACGCAGTTTTGTCAACAAAATCCTGGGCC